AGAAATCATAACTGAGGAAATTATTAATAATTAGAGAAACAAGCAATCAATAATTGTTGAGAGGTCTTTTAATTATAATGTTGGATGTTAAAATGTATTACTGATAAATTGATCAAACTAAAGAACAGTCTTTTTCGTCTTTTTTTTTTTTTTTTTTGAGATGGAGTCTCACTCTGCTGCCTAGGCTGGAGTGCAGTGGCGCAATCTCAGCTCACTGCAACCTCCATCTCCCAGGTTCAAGCAATTCTTCTGCCTCAGCCTCCCAAATAGCTGGGATTATAGGCGCCTGCCACCATGCCTGGCTAATTTTTGTATTTTTAGTAGAGACAGGGTTTCACTGTGTTGGCCAGGCTGGTCTTGAACTCCTGACCTCACAATCTGCCCACCTCGGCCTCCCAAAGTGCTGGGATTACAGGCGTGAGCCACCGTACCCAGGTGTTTTGGCCTTTCTTATAAGTCTCTCCAAATTCATGTTGTATACACTATAGTCTCTAATTTAATAAATTAAACAAGAGATTGTCTTGCATATCTGTATAGTATGCCTTTTAAAAGCATGTTAAGGCTGGGCGCAGTGGCTCACGACTGTAATTCCAGCACTTCGGGAGGCAGAGGTGAGCGAATGGCTTGAGCTCATGAGTTTGCGATCAGCCTGGGCAACATGGTCAAACTGTCTCTACAAAAAAATACAAAAATTAGCCAGATGTGGTGGTGCATGCCTGCAGTCTCAGCTACTCGGGAGGCTGAGGTGGAAAGGTGGCTTGAGCACAGGAGGTGGAGGCTGCAGGGAGCTGAGATTGTGCCACGGCACTCTAACCCAGGTGATAGAGCCAGACCTTGTATCAAAAAAGTATGTTAAAAAAGTCTGTAATTAGGAAGTGTGGAAATTTGTCTTTTTCGTATTGGAAATTCATTATTAATATACAATGTATGTATCTGAGATATGAAACAGTGGAAAAATAAAATAAAATAAGATGTCTCATATGGTCTTAAGAGCTGGCCATCTAGCCAGGTATCAGCCAACCATCTAAGAAACAGTCTAATCAGTTCATGTTATAAGACCTCTTTTTATTGCTTATTTGAGGATTCCCCAATTTTTCATCTTTATAAACTAGAGAAATTTAGCCCAACATTGTATATTAATTGGGCTTTTATATTTGGAAAGTTTAGTAAACATTACAATTTCATGTTAGCTTTGAAACTAACAGCCTTATATTGCTGATATATTTAGCTGATGATTATTAAATTTCTTTTTCTACAGCACAAATACTAACCTGATTATTTTTTACTTTTAATCTTCTCAGTTTGTCTTTGGTCACTATTTGACAGATTATTTATATTGCATAGCTTCTAAAATCTTGTGATATTACCCAAGGTTTTATTAAATCCACTCATTTTTCTATTAACTGAAATCTGAGAGAGTACACTATCAATTATATAATAAACATCACTAATAAGGGTAAGAAGGAAGCTATTAGTAAGAATAAGGCACATCCTTCTTAAGGTACAGGACACAACCTTATGGAACATTACTTCATAAACTATGAAGAAGGTATAACTGGGTCCTTGCAGTCAATGGCCTTATTAAGGTAATCTATAAGCAAAAAACAACTTCCACTACAAAATGCACTCCTCCTTAATTAGAAAAAGTCAAAGCAAAAAGCTGTACCTTCTAAAAATCGTTCTCAAATTAATCTCAACTTCATACAAGTCCACACTGTAGAAAATGTGCAGAATTGGGCACATCTATGTCAAACCACACCATTTCAAAATACAAAAGCCAATGGAGTTTGCATTTCAAAATTAACATAGAGACAATGGATCATTATTTCCATTTCTAACACCTATCTACACTGTAGACACAGATATACAGGAATGAACACATGATTCAATTTGCTTGTAAACACAAAATTTTCAAAAAGTTTTAATTCTTTTTCTTTAAACCTCAAGGTACATGATGCTGAAAGAACAAATGTTTTTATGTGCGAAGCTATTTATCCATATTCTGTTCCTCCTACTTTTAGCTTTACTTTTTTGAGTTTACATTTTCCTTTCTGCTTCCTTTCTAATTATTCTCCCATTATATCAACCTCTGATACTCTAATTTTATATTCATTTCTAACCAAGTAAAATTATTACTAATTGAGATCCCACTTACTCAGAATTTTTGATAAATCAGATACAACATCCAGTATTCCTACTTCATTTATGAAAACTGGGTGAATTACATAAAACCATAATGATATATATAACACAGAATCAGTTTCAAGTTGTTTAAAATAAAGCGGAAGAATTATATATAGTTAAAAACAAGATCAAAGGGATATCTGATAAGCATCATAAAAACAGTAAATGGGAGAGTGAGCAGCTTTGTAGTCTGCTCTAAAATAACAGAAAAACTATAAGAAAATCCCCTGGCCTTAAAATATACAGAATCTTGTTGAAAGGATATAAAACAGTACATAATGCCATAATGATAACACTAGCAAAAAACTAGTACTCATAGTAACAGTAACATAAAGAAATAAATAATAGCACTTATTGAATATGTATGTACCAGGAATTTACATATTATGTTTAACCTCTACAATATTTTTATTCTAGACATGAGAAAAATGTTACCTATAGAAGTTAAATTATTTGTTCAAGATTATCCAATAAGTAGTGAAACTTAAATTTGAAACACCTGTTTTAAAAGTGTGGGTTTTCTTGTTTTATTTTGTTTTCAATTTTTGTGGGTACATAGTACGTGCATATATTTATGGGGTAAATGAGATACATTGATACTGACATGCAATGCATAAAAAACCCATTCAGGGAAAATGAAGTATCCATCACCTCAAGTATTTTTCTTTTGCATTAAAAACAATCCAATTATATACTCTTAGTTATTTTAAAATGTACAATTAAATTATTATTAACTACAGTTACCCTGTTGTGCTAGCAAATACTAGGTCTTATTTATTCTTTTGGTTATTTTTTTTACTCATTCACAATGTGTATCCTCCAACTTCTACCCTCCACTACCCTTCCCAGCTTGTAGTAACTGTCATTCTACTCTCCATCTGCATGAGTTCAAATGTTTTGATTTTCAGATCCTACAAATAAGTGAGAACATGTGAAGCCTGTCTTTTTGTGCCTGGCTTATATCATTTAACATAATGACCTCCAGTTCCATCCATGTTGTTGAAAATGACAGGATCTCATTTTTTCTTATGGCTGAATAGTACTCCATTGTGTATTAAGTGCCACATTTTCTTTATCCACTTGTCTGTTGATGAACACTTAGGTTGCTTCAAAATCTTCACTATCGTGAATGGTGCTGCAGTAAACATGGGAGTGCAGATATCTCTTTGATACTGATTTCCTTTTTTGGGGTATATACCTAGCAGTAGGATTGCTGGATCATATGGTAGGTTTACTTTCAGTTTATTGAAGAACCTCTAAACTGTTCTCCATAGTGGTTATACTAACATACATTACCACCAACAGCATATGAGGGTTCCTTTTTCTCCACATCCTCACCAGGGTGTTATTGCCTATCTTGTGGATAAAAGCCATTTTAACTAGAGTGACATGATATCTCATGTAGTTTTGACTTGAATTTCGCTGATCATCAATGATGTTGAACGCCTTTTCAGAATCCTGTTTGCCACGTATATGTCTTCTTTTGAGAAATGTGTAATGAAATCTTTTGCCCTTTATAAAATCAGATTATTAGAATTTTTTCTATAGAGTTATTTGAGCTTCTTATATATTCTGGTCATTAATCCCTTATCAGGTGGGTAGTTTTCAAATATCTTCTCCCATTCTGTGAGTTGTCTCCTAACTTTGTTGATTGTCTCCTTTGCTGTTCAGAAGGTTTTTAACTTGATGTGATCTCATTTGTCCATTTTTGCTTTGTTTGCCTCTGTTTATGGGATATTATTCAAGATATCTTTGCCTGGACCAATGTCCTGGAGAGTTTCCCCAATGTTTTCTTATAGTACCATAATTTGAGGTCTTAGATTTGAGACTTTAATCCATTTTGATTTGATTTTTATGTAACTAGACAGATTTTTATGTAACTAGACAGATAAAGGTCTAGTTTCATTCTTCTGCATATGAAGATCTAATTTCCTCAGAACGATTTGTTGAAGAAACTTTAAGAACAGTGAATGTTATTGACACCTTTGTCGAAAATGTGTTCACTGTAAGTGTACAGATTTGCTTCTGTGTTTTCTATTCTGTTCTATTGGTCTATGTGTCTGCTTTTATGCCAGTACCATTTTGTTTCAGTTACTATAGCTCTGTAGTATAATTTGAAGTCAGATAATGTGATTCCTCCAGTTTTGTTCTTTTAGCTCAGGACAGCTTTTGCTATTCTGGATCTTTTGTGGGTCCACATAAATTTTAGGATTATTTTTTCTATCTAAATGTGGGTATTTTTAACTTCTATTACATTACTTTCAACAAAGAGTTCAGGAAATTATAATAGAAGTTTGAATTTGGCTACAGTTGTACTGAATGAATTCACAAACAGGTTACGCTATGACGTGAACTCTTAAGAAGGAGGTATATTTTAGGTAAGTTGAAGAAAGAAGGAATATATTTTGGGTATGCATGCATGGGAAATGAGACAAATGAAAAGTATTTTTAATACTCCGATTACACAATTAAACATTTAAACGTTTTACTAATTTACAGTGGACTTGCTCCATGGTGAAGCTTTTTGTGAGCAATTTTGATTGTGAGAGACATAAATGGCAGTCTCTTATTTTCTCAAACTAGCATGCCTGCATTTGAACTGAAATGAAATTAGATATCAAATATCCATTAGAAAAATACCATAATTCTTTGTGGATTTGGAGGAAAGATCAAACTTTCTAATTTCTCTTTATGGATTTTATTGGACGGACCATCATATTTTGAGGTCAAAATCTTAAATTTAATCAAATATTACATCAACACACCAGTACATCAGCAGTTTCCCTGCAGAAGGTCACGGAAAGACATTTGCTTACCTTGTATTACATGTGAGTTGTCTTTTAAGAAGAAGTTATACAGATATTTGGGAATAAAAGCAGACATACATGCATAAGCCAAGGCTAAAAGAGAATAAGGCAAAGGCATGTAAAAAATTAGTTAACAGGGTAGATGACCAGCTGTAATGCATTCACCTAGCACATATTCCTTGAATCTACTATTAAATAACAGTTATGATAGCAAGTGCTAGAAAAACAAAATTGAGAGATAAAAGTCTCTGTGCTTTAAAATGGAAAACATTTTAGACAACAGAATAATTCTATAACTTAAATTTTGAAATACTGTGGCAATCATTATCACACAATAATCAAAACTTTTATTACCTAAACGTTGTTTCTTAAAATTTCTAAGCATGATCATTATTAGTAAGTTATACAGACCTCACGATCCTTAATTGCTGCTGATGTAAACAAGAATCTACGAACTTTGGATTTAGGAATAGTGTTATAATTCACATTTTCAAACATAGACCCCTGACTACGCTTGGGTCAGTATGAGTGATAATTGGCTATGCCTAACTAAACACAGTAAAAAACTCTAGTTTAGATTAATGAGTGAGAATATTAGAGAACAGAGTATTTTAAAAATAATTCATAGAGTAAAATTTCATTTCTCTGGGATTATGCTATTTCTACTTAATTCCAGAAATTGATGCAAATTTGGTCATGAAATAGATAGAATGTGAAAATAGGGAGATGGTCAGATAAGGCATCTAGACATTCAAGCTATACATAGTAACACACTCTACATGTGATTTCAGGGATTGGAGTTATTCGAATTTAGTATTTATTGAAAAGCCTACAATAATAAAGTTATTGCAGAAAGGCAGGGAAAAAAAAAACTGCCATCGAAAAAGGGCTGTCAAAAAATATTACATTAGTATATAAGTATTAGAATACAAGACAGACACAAGATAAATTTTTATAAATACAAAGTGCTTTATGGGCTCAAGAAGGAGAAAAAGAATAGTCTTCATTAAGGAAGAGGTATCCAAAATGATTATAGGCTTTGGAGATACAAGATTATGGAAAAGTGCCACCATAATTGATTTCTTTAAAAATTCTTTAGAAAGTATACTTAGACAAAAATTAATCTCTAAGGAATTTAGAATAATAAAATTCCACTAAATTTCTAGTAATATCTTTAGCATAAATGAAACTCTCCAGTAATAAATTAATCCTTCACATCTCTAAAATGAGTCTATAATAGATTATTTCACAGAAATCTACCAGGGAGAGAAAAAGAACCTTAAAACAAAAACAAAAACCTTTCATGTCTGAATCACATATTTTAGAATATTATGTGCAATGATTATTTAAATGATAAAGAGGCTTACCTTCATTATTGAAGTTTAGATACAGGAATGGAGCACAGAGTGAGTCAAGACCTAATGCAGAGGGGTTGGGAGAAATAAATCAAATAAATATAATCTAGTAGAATTGAAGATATATACCTTATTCAGTTCTTTGCATTACCTCCAAGTAGATTAAACATTAGAAGTATTATCCATACAGAAATATGTCACCTCACGATTTACTGTGGGGAGTAAGTGATAGTGTAGCACACAGTATGTGTCCAATATGAATCAGCTATTATTATTATCCAGATTATTATGAGTCGAAAAGAGAAATACAATAATAGAAACATGGAAGAAAGTTACAATTCTCTGGATATTGTCCCATCTCTGACCCTAAGTGTACAATTCTGGCAATTACTTAATATCTTCTGACATACTTTCTCGTCTAGGAAATGGAGTTTCACCTATGTTCTTTTTCTTTGGGATTATGAAAAAAAATTCTTTAAAAATTGTGAAGTGAATTCCAAATATATGACATTTCTTTTATTGATAATAATGATGTGCATGTATTGTCATGTTGAAAGAATGTACATAAATCTACCTACAACTGTTAGGAGGATATAGAATAGCTCTGAAATACACAGAGCTAAGAAAAATAATACCTTTATTTAAACTATGGCCAGTAAGAAATAGAGAACTGAAATATAAAAATAGCCGCTTATAACACCACATTCAAAAATAGGGTTGGAATGGGTTTCTCATTCTTTATCAAACACAAAAATAATAATGGCAAAGCTAAAAATAAAAGATATGAACCATTAAAGATACAAGGGGAAAAAAGACAATAAATAAAATGAGGACTTTAGGATGATAGCCTATTTTTAAGTCCTAACAGCCATGGTAAGTATAAATTAGAAATCATTAACTATAAGAATCTCAACTAGCCCCAACTGATTTAACAGTGTGCATAGGCGTTTAAAAAATGTATCCACAAAGATGACAACAGCTCCAAATATATTTCTGCTTTGCTAATCAACTTGCATATTAAATATTATGTTTTTAAATGATATCTACTAGGATTTAGACAAAGATTTTAAAAAATGCTTGGATGTAAACCTCTCAAAAAATGAATCAGAGCTTCAATATTGACTTTTTCCGAAGACAAGGATGTTTAGATATTTTAATTTTTTAAAATGTCAGTTATGCAACAATCTCCTAATACTCCAGGGAAGTTTTAATGACTATAAAAGTTACCTTGCCAATACACAAGATCAGGATGAGACACTACCCAGGCTTTTAATACACGCCTAAATTTTGCATGACCTTCTGGTGATGATAACAGTTCATCGTACTGATGACAGCGAGGAATATCCACTTCAATCTGTTAAAATAGCAAAATAATAAGGTGAAACAGTAATTGTGTAATCAGCAATAAACCCTTAATCTTTATTCATTAAATAAGGAAAAGGAGATGCCATAATACAAATTTCAAAACAGACCAACTTCTTAAGTGCCTAATTTTTTGAATTTTTTAATTGATCTTATGGAAACACTAAAGACGTTGTATGTATACTTAAACAGGAGAATCAGACCATTTCTTTTGAAAGGTATGTGTTAATACACTTTTCAAAAATATTTTCCTTTATAGTCTGGTCCAAATGAAGGGCAAATTTTTCAGATGAAGAACTATAGTATTTTTAAAAAGGTAACTTGACCTTAAAGTCCTTTAAGGTATTGTTCTAAGTTATAAGCATAAGAGTTATGGTTTCTCTAACAATGTATGTATGCAGCAGTGTGTCTGTATTCATGAGAGAAAGAGGCTTTCTTCAGGCTCCTTCCTAAAATTTAAATATTTGACAGAATTATCTTAGGTTGCTTAAGAAAATCTAAATCATACTTGTCTATCTGTAGGAATTGGAGTGTCTTTATCAATTGCATCGTACTTGGCATGAATAGCTCCCTGCAAAAAATAAAAGAAGATACATTAATTTATCATACCCTTAATGCAACTAGTAATATAGAAAAATCTATTTTTTACAAATATCTATCTTTGGAAACCTACCCAACTACAGATAAGCACATTCAAACCCAGTGTAAAACTCATCTTAAGAGAAATTTTCTGTGTCTTTGACAATCTATGATGAAAGTCTCTGCTAAGTCACAATTTGCCATTCTGCTGAGGCAAACTCTTGAATTATAAATACCACAACATGAATGTTGTGGATTAATTACTTAGCTAGTAAGTATGTTTGGCTGACCTCCCAGCCCCTACAACATAACACAACCTTGTTATGTTGTGTCTATAATTACATGATAGAATCATTAGGGCCTAAAGAGGTCATTTACAATTTTCAGTTACACACTGTTAAAAATTAAAAATAACTGAATAAATGACTACAAATTTTGGTCATGTTCTATAGGACCAAGCATGAAAAAAATAATATTATTCTGGCTTATTATCATGGTAGAGAAAGAGCCAGGAAGTAGGGTTCAAACTCCGATATCTGCTATATCAACTTCTTTGAGACATTCATTTAATGGGAGTTGGAAAACCTGATACCTGAAGTCCTCTTGGACTTTAGCATTATATTGTTCTACAAGTCTAATGATTACTGTATGATATTGAACCACTGGAATTCTTGTAAAGTAACCAACCAAACTCAAAGGTATTTGTAGAATCTTATCAAGGGAATCAGGAATGAAGAAAGGAAATTCTTCAAACAGAGAATTGAAAAGGATTCAAAATAGTTGAGGATTTTTTAAAATTTTTTTTTAGAGACAGGGTTTAGTTCTATCATCCAGGGTAGAGTGCAGTGGCACAATCAAGGTTCACTGAAGCCTCGAACTCCTGGGCTCAAGTAACCCTCCTGCCTCAGCTTTCCAAGAAGCTGGGACCACAGGCATGTGCCACCATTCCTGACTGGAATTCTTTAAAAAGCAAGGGTAATTATCTATAAGAGAATATAAGAAGACAAGATGACAAAGAAATTGACAAGAAATGAAAAAAATCTGGCTAGAATTTGGCCCATTGTCATGATTGATGTCATCGGAGTTCTCTGTTAGTACTGCAGACCACCACAATTTGTGACACCTCTCCCTTCCTCACAACCACAGAGAAAGTGTTATAGAACACATGGGAGCTATTTCTCTTGGTAGCACATTCCAGGTGGAACAGGTGTGCCAAAAGCCACTAAATTATGTTAGTGATTTTGACATGTCAGATTAGATCGAAAGATTTCTCCAAATTTAGAACCATTTATAAACAGATAATCATATTCTATAATAAGCATACTTCATAAGCAGGACTACCCACTTGTAACTGACATATATTCTTAAAATATTCCTTGGTAATAATCAAAACATTTTCTGTGACCACCATTAAATGAAATATTAAATAGCACAATCTAATAAACCCTCAATTATATTTTTCTTTTCTATTGTTTTCCTATGTTCCTTCCACTCAAAATTGCCAAATATTCTAATGCTTATATTTTATTATATAATTTTCTAGTAACTGGAAAAATACAAATTTGGAAAGCACTCTCCTTCTTCATCCTTTCTTAGCATAATTAATCAGCTTCTAACCTTTTCTTTTTTCCTTACCTCAACTCCCAGAAGAGCAGCCCAGGTTAAACCTCTCAAAAGAGGAGGAATGTCAATTCTTGCTTCTTTCCAGATTTGATTTTTTTTATATGGATAAGCCTATATCAAAAAAGAAATGAAAACGCCTCAAATTACCTAGTGCCATCTTTTAGTCTAGACAGTTCTGAATATACCCATGATAAAACTTAAGTGACTTGCAATAAATTTCAAAGTACATGCAATTATTATGTCTGGTGTTATTAATACATATAAATAAGCAGTAGAATGAATCCCTAACACCTTGCAAAATTTATATTATATAATTAAGAAGAGGAGCTGATTCTACCTATTTTTAAATCCTTCCTCTCTATTTGATGCTCTGGGGGGATTTAAAATGAGTCATTTTAAATGAAGGATAATAGTACCAGCCTCATACGGGTTAAATAAGACAAAGCAGGTAAAGCACTCTGTTAAAAACGTGGTGACAGAGAGAAGTGTTCAATCACTATAAGCTACTATTATGGGTACTTCTGCATTTTGCATATAAATTTGTACTTTTATAAATTTGTGTCTTAGGAGAAATTTCTAGAAGAGTATTAATAGGACAAAGGATACAGATGTTGTTAAGGTTCTTGATATATGCATTCAAATTGTTTTACGAAATGTTTCAGTACATTCACATTTATTCCAACAGAATGAGAGTTCCAATATCATTGCATCTGTGCTCACTTTGCGAATGCGGTATGGAAAATCAATCCGATTTTAATTTGTATTTTTTTTTCATTCCTAGTGAAGATGAACAATTTGAAAAGATTTACTAGTTGTATTTATATTATGTACTCTATCCATTATTCTGTTTCAATATTGATGTTTTTCCTGTTGACTTTTAAGCCTTCTTTTAAAAATAAGGACATTAAAGACATAACATACCAGAATCTCTGGGACACATTTAAAGCAGTGTGTAGAGGGAAATTTATAGCACTAAATGCCCACAAGAGAAAGCTGGAAAGATCTAAAATTGACACTCTAACATCACAATTGAAAGAACTAGAGAAGCAAGAGCAAACACATTCAAAAGCTAGCAGAAGGCAAGAAATAACTAAGATCAGAGCAGAACTGAAGGAGATAGAGACACAAAAAACCCTCCAAAAAATCAATGAATCCAGGAGTTGGTTTTTTGAAAAAATCAACAAAATTAATAGACCGCTGGCAAGACTAATAGAGAAGAAAAGAGAGAAGAATCAAATAGACACAATAAAAAATGATAAAGGGGATATCATCACCGACCCCACAGAAACACAAACTACCATCAGAGAATATTATAAACACCTCTATGCAAATAAACTAGAAAATCTAGAAAAAACAGATAATTTCCTGGACACTTACACTCTTCCAAGACTAAACCAGGAAGTTGAATCCCTGAATAGACCAATAGCAGGCTCTGAAATTGAGGCAATAATTAATAGCCTACCAACCAAAAAAAGTCCAGGACCAGATGGATTCACAGCTAAATTCTACCAGAGGTACAAGGAGGAGCTGGTATCATTCCTTCTGAAACTATTCCAATCAATAGAAAAAGAGAGAATCCTCCCTAACTCATTTTATGAGGCCAACATTATCCTGATACCAAAGCCTGGCAGAGACACAACAAAAAAGGGGAATTTTAGACCAATATCCCTGATGAACATCGATGCAAAAATCCTCAATAAAATACTGGCAAACCGAATCCAGCAGCACATCAAAAAGCTTATCCACCATGATCAAGTGGGCTTCATCCCTGGGATGCAAGGCTGGTCCAACATATGCAAATCAATAAATGTAATCCAGTATATAAACAGAACCAAAGACAAAAACCACATAATTATCTCAACAGATGCAGAAAAGGCCTTTGACAAAATTCAACAGCCCTTCATGCTAAAAACTCTCAATAAATTCGGTATTGATGGAACATATCTCAAAATAAGAGCTATTTATGACAAACCCACAGCCAATATCATACTGAATGGGCAAAAACTGGAAGCATTCCCTTTGAAAACTGGCACAAGACAGGGATGCCCTCTCTCACCACTCCTATTCAACGTACTGTTGGAAGTTCTTGCTAGGGCAATCAGTCAAGAGAAAGAAATAAAGGGTATTCAGTTAGGAAAAGAAGAAGTCAAATTGTCCCTGTTTGCAGATGACATGATTGTATATTTAGAAAACCCCATCGTCTCAGCCCAAAATCTCCTTAAGCTGATAAGCAACTTCAGCAAAGTCTCAGGATACAAAATTAATGTGCAAAAATCACAAGCATTCTTATACACCACTAACAGACAAACAGAGAGCCAAATCCTGAATGAACTTCCATTCACAATTGCTTCAAAGAGAATAAAATACCTAGGAATCCAACTTACAAGGGATGTAAAGGACCTCTTCAAGGAAAACTACAAACCACTGCTCAGTGAAATAAAAGAGGACACAAACAAATGGAAGAATATTCCATGTTCATGGATAGGAAGAATCAATATCGTGAAAATGGCCATACTGCCCAAGGTAATTTATAGATTCAATGCCATCCCCATCAAGCTACCAATGAGTTTCTTCACAGAATTGGAAAAAACTGCTTTAAAGTTCCTATGGAACCAAAAAAGAGCCCACATTGCCAAGACAATTCTAAGTCAAAAGAACAAAGCTGGAGGCATCACGCTACCTGACTTCAAACTATACTACAAGGCTACAGTAACCAAAACAGCATGGTACTGGTACCAAAACAGAGATATAGACCAATGGAACAGAACAGAGTCCTCAGAAATAATACCACACATCTACAGCCATCTGATCTTTGACAAACCTGAGAAAAACAAGAAATGGGGAAAGGATTCCCTATTTAATAAACGGTGCTGGGAAAATTGGCTAGCCATAAGTAGAAAGCTGAAACTGGATCCTTTCCTTACTCCTTATACGAAAATTAATTCAAGATAGATTAGAGACTTAAATGTTAGACCTAATACCATAAAAACCCTAGAAGAAAACCTAGGTAATACCATTCAGGACATAGGCATGGGCAAGGACTTCATGTCTAAAACACCAAAAGCAACGGCAACAAAAGTCAAAATTGACAAATGGGATCTAATTAAACTAAAGAGCTTCTGCACAGCAAAAGAAACTACCATCAGAGTGAAAAGACAACCTACAGAATGGGAGAAAATTTTTGCAATCTACTCATCTGACAAAGGGCTAATATCCAAAACCTACAAAGAACTCAAACAAATTTACAAGAAAAAAACAAACAACCCCATCAAAAAGTGGGCAAGGGATATGAACAGGTATTTCTCAAAAGAAGACATGCATACAGCCAACAGACACATGAAAAAATGCTCATCATCACTAGCCATCAGAGAAATGCAAATCAAAACCACAATTGAGATACCATCTCACACTAGTTAGAATGGCAATCATTAAAAAGTCAGGAAACAACAGGTGCTGGAGAGGATGTGGAGAAATAGGAACACTTTTACACTGTTGGTGGGATAGTAAACTGGTTCAACCATTGTGGAAAACAGTACAGTGATTCCTCAAGGATCTAGAACTAGAAGTACCATATGACCCAGCCATCCCATTACTGGGTATATACCCAAAGGATTATAAATCATGCTGCTATAAAGACACATGCACACGTATGTTCATTGCGGCACTATTTACAATAGCAAAGACTTGGAATCAACCCAAATGTCCATCAGTGACAGACTGGATTAAGAAAATGTGGCACATATACACCATGGAATACTATGTAGCCATAAAAAAGGATGAGTTTGTGTCCTTTGTAGGGACATGGATGCAGCTGGAAACCATCATTCTCAGCAAACTACCACAAGAACAGAAAACCAAACACCGCATGTTCTCACTCATAGGTGGGAACTGAACAATGAGATCACTTGGACTCGGGAAGGGGAACATCACACACCAGGGCCTATTATAGGGAGGGGGGAGGGGGGAGGCGGGAGGGATTGCACCGGGAGTTATACCAGATGTAAAGGATGAGTTGATGGGTGCTGACGAGGTGATGGGTGTAGCACACCAACATGGCACAGGTATACATATGTAACAAACCTGCACGTTATGCACATGTACCCTAGAACTTAAAGTATAATAATAATAAAAAAATGAAATAAAATAAAAAATAAGGACATTAATCCTTTGTCTAACATGATTTGCATATATTACCACACCTTGTTTTTACTTTCTAATTGTACTTACTAAGAACATGTATCATTTTTAAAATTAAAGAAAGCTAACCGGACAAGATAAGTCATAAAAATTAACCTTCTTATTATTCAAGATTCCCTAAGAATTATCGAAAAAATTTAAAAAATGAATTCCATATTGGCTATTGTTAACACTGTATACTTTAGAATACATACCTTTAGCAGCCTGTCAAAGAGAACAATTCTATTTAGTTGGTACTCTGTGTCCTTCTCTCTGATGATTAAAGGGAGAGTGGCAGCTGCAGACAACTCATTATTGCTGTTTGAATGAGGTAAATTAGACTGGCTGTAAAAGAGAACAAAAGCAATAAAAAAAATGGACAAAAGGTACATTTTCCTTTTTCTTCCTAACTCTACCGACAGTGATTTCAGAAAAAGCACAAAATTTTAATAAACCAAAATATCAGGTTATTATTTTCTATTTAGGAAATACATTTCAAAGAAAATGTATAAAATTCTTATAAATCTAATATAAATAGAAAGAAAAATAAATGTAAAATGAGACTACATATACTCACTCATCTTCAAGTAATGGGTAAAATGCTTCTCCACCAACATCTTTCAATCTCTGTGTATTTAAAGACAATATTTATGTATAAACATATTGGGCAGAAACTTTGATCTGTGTTTAAAAAGACAAGTAATATAACAACTATGAATTTATAAAGGGACCTAGAAAAGTATAAAATAGAATCTAAAAATCAGTTCTTATAAACATGCAAGCATACAATGCCTCTACTGATTAAGGTTTGGCTGTGAAAAACAACTTTTCTTTTTTTTTTTTTTTCTCATCTATAGGTATCACTCATAAATGTTAGACACCTATCATGATATATTTTCCAAACACAACTCAGAATTACTAGCACTAGTATAAAACTTAATGAATGGGAAAAAAATTTTAAGTTATATGAAGAAAGATGATTAAAAAGAGGTACTATATAGCCATGTACATGTTGAAAGAACAACTTAGATTTAGTTTTGCTTTGGCATAATACAAGCTAAGTCAAAAAGAAAGGTACTAGAAAAAGGATTCCAAAACATTTCTCACATCATACTTCGAACATGTATGACTCAAATAGCTAATAAATCAATGGACAGAGTTTACTTAATGATTTTTTTTACAAAGTCATTTTAATAGTTGTTCCAAATAACAACCCTGACAGGATTACAGGTATTCTTCAAAACCAGAAGCAGGAAGGCAGTAGTAAAGTAAAATGTTAATCACATTCTAAGCAAGGTAATTAAAGTTAATGCCATCTTGCCCACTGCTCTGCTGTTCAACTTCCATTGTGAAGGCAGAATGTTTGCTCCTATGGGGATTGACATAGAAGTTCAAGCTGTATGTGCAGCAAGCACTGATCTTCTGTTGATCAGTCATTGTGCACCCATGTGAGTTATTCCCAGAATTGTTAAAGCTGAAGAAAAATCTTTTACTCAACACTAAGAATTCAGCAAACACTGAATTTACGCCTGGTTCTCCTCTAAAAATTAATGTGCTATACGCTTATCCTATTTTAGTAAACCTTTAGGTATATCTTTCATATATTAAAATTTTAAGTAAAGAAATTAAATTTTCCCAAGTGTTACTGCATTTTTAATACACATATCTTGTTATTAAAGATTAGTTTTCAGTATCCTGAATGTGATTGATTTTAACTGTAAGTATCTTGTCTGTCTTTTCTAAACAAAAATTTTGCACATTAGGAATTTTAAAAGGTGAACGAAAACACTAAAAATTATTTGGTTTCCGTATCATTTTAAGAATCAGCAAATTAATATTTCTTAATAACTACAGAAGAAAAGTATTTAAAATTTCGCAAGCAGAACTTTAAATTGAGACATTTAGACTTGAAGCCTACATTCATTTAACTTGGATTATATTTAAATTGAAGAAACAAATTAAGAGCAAAACAAAATCAGCTGAAATCATATATTTTGGATGTAATTTATTGTTTGCTACATGGTATTGTTACTTATTTTGTTACTTTCCACATTCTTTCTTTCAAAGAGATTATAAATTCAGAGTATTGAGTAGTAATAATTATACATTTTAATTTTCTGTTGATGGCATTATGGCAGACAAGGGATTCTAATACTGTCCTACTACATAACATGTAAAATATTAAATGGTTAGCTAAGCTTTAAAACATAAGGAAAATGCTGTGATAACAGATATAAAACCAGGCCTAGAAGAAAGGAGTTAATAACTGTGGTCTAGAGATTTAGACCATAATGGGATAAAGGTTTGGGAACCTGCATAACAGACCTTCAGAATGGAGAAGACCTTTCTAAAGCCACATAAATAAAAACTAGGGGAATTGCTAGCTTAGACAGAAAACAAGGATAGGTACCTATTTTAGCTTTGGCTATGAATAGTTAAAAATAAAAAGTCTGGGACTTCCACTTTCTTATATAAAATATAAACAGCTTAGAAGGCATCATTCTTCCTCTAACAAGAAAAATGCTGAACAAACTGAAAATCAAGAACTCGTCTCACATCTATCAGAATCAGAGCACTGTGATGTCCTAAAAACTGGAGGGACCCTCGAATACAGGGAATCACAGCTCACCAGGAACAGAGCCACTGCTGGAGCCTGTTAAGATTAATTAAAAGGTATTTATTTATACTTGCAGGCTGAGCACAGACTAATATGAGAGAGAAAAACTTCTAGAGGCCCAGCCTTAGGGAGGCCTTCCTTGCTTCCATGAGATTAACCTCCACAGGTCCCACCAGGTTCTCAAGGTGAAGATCTGAGAAAAATACCCTTGACTTCCTGTAAGGGGAGGTGGAAAGTAACCAACCTGAAATATAGCCAGGGTACTCTGTTTTCCTTAAGAGAGGTCTGCCTTAAAGGGAAACTCTTCTGCCAGGTCCTAACTAACTTGGGTTTTGCAGAAATCTAGCCAACTTGGGAAGGAAATATTCAACTCCAGTCCACTCCAGTCTTTGATGTAGGGGAAAAGAAATACCTGACTCTAGTCCCTCTAGCTTTCCTGTCTCAGCTTGGGGCAGAGGAGTGGGAGAAGCTGAGAAACCTTGTGAAGGTCACAGCCCAGGAACACAGGCTCACTAAAATCTGGGACTTAATCATAAGATTATAAAACACTTCTCCCCTGTACTTTACTACAACATTAATAGGGCTTTTATATAATAAGAGGATTCATTCCTTCATTCAGTTATCATATAGGAAGAAAACATATATCAAATGAAGATAAGTACAATGGAGGAAAAAAAAAAAAACAGGATGAAGAATACAAGGGATAGGTGTGGCGTTGCTATTTGATAAAGGATGGCCAACAAAAGCCCACCAATAGGTAACGGTTCAGTAGAGAATGGAAAGAAAGGAAATGGAAGCAGCAGAAGAGTGTTAGAGGCACCGGGAAGAGCAAGTTTAAAGGCCTTGAAACATATAACTTTAGAAAATGATTTAAAAACAAAATAAACAGCCTGAGTAAACTTATAACCATTAGGCAGACTGAAGTAATGATTACATCCAGATAGGGATAAGGAGCCATTACAATACGGTTTTAAAGCTAACTCCCATGAAACATTCAAGAAATAGATATATGTAATCACATAAAGTCTTTCAGAGAATAAAAAAAAAAAAGGCAACACTCTCGTATTTATCTTATGAGACTAGTACACCCCTGATACCAAACTAGCACGTTGCAGTAAAAGAAAAGAAACTCACAGGCCCATCTCAAATAGACACAGAAATGCAAACATTCTAAACAAAATATTAGAAAAATCAAAACACAAATGTATAAAAAAGGAAAAATGAAATCATGATCTGATTGGGTTTATTCCAGAAATATAAACATGGCTCAACATTGAAAAACCCCATCAATATAATTAAATCCATTAACATAATACATAAAAAACTATATGACCATCCCAATAGATACAGTAAAAACACTCAGTGAAATTCAACACCCATTCATAACAAAACGTATAACTAAGAATAGATGTCTATAGCTCAATGCAACAAATATCATACTTAATTATGAAATATAAAAAGCAACCTTTTAAAACCAGAAATGAAACAAGAATGCCCACTATTTGTTTCTATTCAATAGTGTTATAGAGGCTCAGCAAAAATAATTACAAAAGATGAAGTGAGTGAAGTGAATTAAGGTAGTGTTCTTTCCTTCATTTCCAAGAAAACCACAGAGACTCTATAGAGTCCTATTCTTATTTAAAAAAGAATAGGTTCAGCAACGTTGCCTGACACAAAATCCATATAAAAAAATCAATTGTGTTACTAATCATGCACAAAATAGTAGTTGAAATGGTATTTAAAAAAATATTACTGATGTATTTTTTAAAATAATCTACTGGTATACTTAAGATTTGATACATTTTACTATATGAAAAAATATTATTGATGTATATTTTAAACTCATCTACTGGTATACTTAAGATTTGTACATTTTACTACATGAAAATTTTGCCTAGAAAAGAACCATAAACAAATCTCAAACTCTAATGTGTAAGCTGAATTGTAGTAGTAATGTCTTCATTTTACTTTGAAACGCAAGAACAAAAAATATGACGGATTGATGCATGACTAGAAAGATAGACAGACATGTGGCAAAGCATGTAAAATGTTAATTATAGAATCTAGGTCACAGATTAGCAAACTGTTTCTATGCAGGAACATATAACAAATATTTTTAGCTTTGTGGGCCATGTGGTCTCCATTGCAACTACTCAATTTTACCATTGTAGAACAAAACAGCTATACATAATAGGTCGATGAATAGGTGTAACTTGATTTTGCTAATAGACCATATCAAATGGTTTATCTAGGTGGTAACTTGTTCACTGTAAATGCTTTCCAACTTTTCTGTTTAAAAATTTTTATAACAAAATGTTGGAAAAAATCATACTCATACATATATACACACACACATATATATACACACACACACACATACACACACACATATATATATATTCTATTTACAAGAACAACAACAAATTACCTTAGGAATAAATCTGATAACTGATATACAGACATTAAAAAGAAAATTGTTATATAAAATATGACAAATAAATGACATATTTATTTAGGCATGTTCAAGAAATAAAACCCTACATTTTAAATACATCAATTCTCTACAAATTAACCTATAAATTCATTGCAATGTCAATCAAAACCCTGTAATTTTTTATGAAGGTCTTTATGATGATAATAAAAATCAGCTAGTAGAGGAAGATGTTAAAGAGCTCCTACTCCATTTTGAGGACAAAAAAACTGAAAGTCTTCCTTTGCTAGATATCAACAGTTCACATAAAACTATAGATTAAGGCAATGTGGTATTTGCTAAAATTAGAAACACAGGCCAACCAATTAGAATACCAAGGCCCAGAGACATATCCATGCACATAGAAAAAGTTGGTATTGCACATCAAAAAAGTGAAGAGAAAACTATTCAATATATGGTACTGACATAAGGGGTATTTTTTTAATCAATGAAATACGATATTGGATACCTTCCTTACAACTTAATCTAAAATAAGTTCTAGGTGGGTTAAAGAACTAAATGGGAAACAATTATTTAAAATTTTTAAAAGGAAATATATAAAAACATTATAAAATATACTTATAACCTTGCTATTACTTTAAATAAGTTACATGAAAAAATACATCAAAATACATTTGACTATAAAAGAAAATACTGATAAAAATTTAGAATTCTATTCAATAAAACAATCAAAAGTTGAAGGAAGAGCTACAGATGAGAATATATTTTCATGACATACAGCTCACAAAGATACGGTATCAGGGATATAGTTCTAAAACTCCTCAAATCAATAAGAAATCACTCAAAAGAAAAACTGACAAGAGATATGAACTAGTAATGCATAAAGAGGTAGGCGAAGTGATAAAATATATGAAAAGACTTACAACTGCACTATAATCACGAAATTAAAAATTAGTGTTATAGCAAAATACCTTTCCATATCATTAGATTAACAATTTTTTAAAATTTAATAAAAGAAAGCATTACCAGGTAAATAAAGAAATGAGAACAGTTACCCAATGATGGCAAAAAGATAAACTGATAAAATCATTTTTGTGAACACTCAGGTAATAAAGCTGAAGTTGTACAGATGCAATTCTACTCTGGGGCACACATTTTACAGAAGCTCTCCCATATTTTGTGAAATCAAGGAGGCATACACAATATCTTGTGTATCTGTAAGGTTTTAATTAAAGAAAAAAAAACTAAAGCAGAACTGTCAAAATATCATTCTTACATTTCTTAGCTGGCATAACGATAATGTCACAGTGGTATCATCTAAAAGCGAGCTTCTATCTCGACCTTGTCCAAAGCTTTCGCCATCCTCAAAGAGAAAACTGAAAAGAAATTTTTAAAATAATATGCACACAAAATCCAGTTTATTGCTTCTTCTAGAAAGTAAAGTTTATTCTAAGTCATCAATCCCTTCATTAAAAAAGAACTAAACTTTAGACTGGATGTTTAATAAAACAATATATTGAGATTTCTTCAAACAAGTCCCGTTTTTAAATAACTCTTGAGTTGGTATGAACATAAGAAAATTTCAGAAAAACAAAAGTGTCATTTACAACCCTTTGTTCATGCAGTTTCAATGCTAACAGTACTCTCCTGACATTAGCCCAATGTTTTCCCGAGAAACTTTATACGCGTGGAAAAAGATAAAGGGAAGAAGAAAGAAAAAGCATATTGGATAGTAAGCTCATAGAAGAAAGGATATTAAATAACAAATGAATAAAATTTGTTTACAATTTCAATAAATTACTTTTAAGAATCTATATACCCTTTAAACCATTTCTTCTTACAATTTCCGTAATCTTACCTCTTACTTTCTACTTAATTCAATGTATGAGTGGTATACTCAAAGTTAACATTTAAAAATCAGATTAAAAGAGAAAAAAATATAAACTAGTCAATCCAAACAATACAAAAGTTTAAAAAGAAAAAAATGATGAGCAGATTACTTCTACAGTTGCCTACAATGATCAAACCTAAGTCTTGAAATCTAAAAATTTTATTTTATTTTATTTTATTTTGAGACAGGGTCTCTCATTTGCTCAGGCTAAAGTGCAGTAGCATGATCTCGGCTCACTGCAGCCTCAACTTCCCTGGGCTCAGGTGATTCTCTCACCTGCAGCTGCCTGAGTAGCTCGGACTACAGGCACACAACATCATGCCCAGCTAATTTTTTTTCTTTGTAGAGGCAGGGTTTTGCCATGTTGCCCAGGCTGATCTCAAACTCCTAGGCTCACGCAATCCACCTGCCTTGCCTCTCAAAGCCTAAAATTAAAAATTTAAAGTATTAGTAGAAGCTCAAGAAATTTAGGTTCATATTTTTATGAACAAATATGAATAGCAATGTTAATGACAATCTTAGTCCCAAGGTTGTAGAGGTATTTAACTTGCAGTCTAACTTATAGCATGATATCTTCTTATACAGTTTTGCAGATTTTTTTGCAACACACTAGCACAGTAATGATCTCTAGGACATGCAGTGAGACCACACAGTTCATTTACATTTATAAGTATATTTGCAAAAAGAACATAGTTGTTTTTAGTAGGCAAACTAACTAGTTTTTAGTTAACTCTCTTAAATATTCTATTGTGACTTGTGTATTTTTCATTAACATCAATTATTGCAAGATATTCCATAATATTAACTTCACTTCAAATAGGTCACAAAGCATATTATGGATCAAAGACAAGTGATGGGAACTGCAATTAGAAACTCTGGCCAATCAAACAAGGTGTTGATTTCAATTGCTTCCAATAATCACTTAGTTGGGATGTCTACCAAAAAAAATTTTAAGAACAACCAATTTTCTTTTTTATTATTATCATATAAGTATAATTATTATCATTTATTTATTTATTTAAATTTCCAAGAGAAGTTTCTTTCCTTACTTGGGGAGTGTGCAGATAGGTGGTTTGGATCGAATGATCTCCTTGTTGACAAGCTCTTTCTCCAAGTCACCTCCAGCCAAACACCAAAGGTAATAAACTTCTTCAATAGATCTTTCTGACAGGTAATCATTATTTATATCTATTAAAAGCAAATTTAAGGAATCATTGTATTATATTTTCTACCTTTATTAAAAGTCAACAGGCAGTAATAGCTGCCATTCTAAAAAATAAAAATAAACACTGAAGAACAGACTTCCAGTTTCTAGTCAGTAGTAAGGAGGCTGAAATTTGCTACTCCATCCTAACAACAAATAAAAAGCTGAACAGAATGAAAAATCAACAATTCTTGGATCTGTAAGAGAGGTGAGGACATAGGGCAAACTTCTGTCCCCAGGACTGGAGACAGAGAGCAGAATACAGGGAGTTATAGCATTCTGGAACAGACATTCATGAGTAGTGCCTCAGGAACCAGTGCCAAGTTTGGAAAATCTAAACTGCAATTGAAAATTACTGGAGCTCAGTGTGGACAACTCTGAGAGTCAAAAACTCCAGGGGGAACCAGTCATAAGGGATACCCGCACACTTTTGTGAGTCTGGAGATTGACACGATTCTCACAGTAGATATTGGAGGAAAATGCCTTTATGTTTCCAGCAGTGGCAGAGGAAATGGAACCACTCTGAAATACGATGAGCACTGTTCTTAACAAGGTCAGCCTTCAGGATAAACCGGTTAGTCAGAGCCTAACTGACCTGGAGAGGGGAAATACCAAAGTGCAGCCACCTCTAGCCTTCTATGTGGTGGTTAAGGTGTGGGGAACAGAAGCATTCTGTAGTAAGTCCTACGATTAGGTCTCAATCTTTAAGTGAGCCAGTGACTCTAGATAAAGTGTTTCCTTGCCCTTAAGGAGTGGCTAGAACGAGCTGGAGCTTGGTGTTTCCCTTCTCCTACCTGGAGGTATGCCATGATTGGCAGATTCTGATTTAATTTTTGTAATAATTTGAATGCTCCTAGCTGAAAATAATATACTACTAAAAGTGGCTTATATAATAAAGACATTTATTCATCTCTCCTAATAAAATCACAGGTATAGGAGGGGCCTATGCTTATCAAAATTCTAGACCATTTCCTGCATTAAGAAGAGAAGACAGTGGGCCGGGCGCGGTGGCTCAAGCCTGTAATCCCAGCACTTTGGGAGGCCGACACGGGCGGATCACGAGGTCAGGAGATCGAGACCATCCTGGCTAACGCGGTGAAACCCCGTCTCTACTAAAAAATACAAAAAACTAGCCGGGCGTGGTGGCGGCGCCTGTAGTCCCAGCTACTCGGGAGGCTGAGGCAGGAGAATGGCGTAAACCCGGGAGGCGGGGCTTGCAGTGAGCTGAGATCCGGCCACTGCACTCCAGCCTGGGCGACAGAGCCAGACTCCGTCTCAAAAAAAAAAAAAAAAAAAAAAAAAAAGAAGAGAAGACAGTGGTGAACCTATGCTGCAGTACTTTCTTGACAAGAAAATTTGTTTTTTCCCTACAAGTAGCCCTTATGCCCAGCACTTTCATTTAGATCCAATTAGCCAACTCTAGTTCACAAGCTTACTGCCCATAGAAAAAAAACACTTGGAATTTTCACCCTTTATAATGAATACATAGTATTGGAAATTTTACACTCTATATTGGAAAAGGAATAAGGGTAGAAAATAGCACATGCGGAGGCAACCAACACAAATTGTTCCTTCCCTCCTATCTCAAGGCAATGGCTGGCCGCTTTTTCTGAAGTCTTCCTTGATGTCCCAGACAGAAATACACAATTAGGTGCTCCTGCTATGCTGCCATTGTGCTATATTCATATTGACCTTCATTTATAATAGTGATTGTATAACTAAATGTCTGTCTGTCTTCCCATTTGGTATGAATGTTACTTAAAGATACAGTATGTGGGCTGGGCGCGGTGGTTCAAGACTGTAACCCCAGCACTTTGGGAGGCCGAGACGGGCAGATCACGAGGTCAGGAGATCGAGAACATCCTGGCTAACACGGTGAAACCCCGTCTCTACTAAAAAATACAAAAAAGACCTAGCCAGGCAAGGTGGCAGGCACCGGTAGTCCCAGCTACTCAGGAGGCTGAGGCAGGAGAATGGCATAAACCCAGGAAGTGGAGCTTGCAGTCAGCTGAGATCCGGCCACTGCGCTCCAGCCAGGGCGACAGAGCCAGATTCTGTCTCAAAACAAACAAACAAACAAACAAAAAAGATACAGTATGTGACACATACCAGGAACTCAATATATGTTTAATTGAATGAATGTTTAGTAACCATTTTCTGCCATGACTTAAGTCATAAAAACTTTTCAGAATAAAGGTAACTTACTCGTGTCACTAAACCTTACGTTCCAAGAGCTGTAATCTTCACACAAGAAGTGAAAGTCTAAAAGCTGATATTCTCTTCAACATGCAGAACATAATGGTATGTAATTCTTATCAATAATATTATTTTTAGAGATCAGTTATAAATAAATTATATAGAATACCAGTAACTTAAATATAAAGGATAAACTGTTAGCTCAAATGTATGTGTTTATGTGTATTCTAGTCACTCCTTAAGGGCAAGGAAGCACTTGTCTAAAGGCTAGAGGCAGAGGCTCACGTAAAGATTCAGAACTAATCACAGGATTAACTATAGAATGCTTCTGTTAACTTTAAACACCACACAGAAGGCTAGAGCTAGCTGCAATTTGCTATTTCCCCTCACCAGTTCAGTTAGGCTCTGATAATTATCCAAGCAAGTTAGGCTCTGATGTTATCCAAGCAAGTTAGGTTCTGACTAACTATATACATATATATTTGTGTGTGTGTGTGTGTGTATACTTTGTGTTTTTTTGTTGTTGTTGTTTTTTGTTTGTTTGTTTGTTTGTTTTTTGTAGAGACAGGATATCTCTACGTTGACCAGGCTGGTCTCAAACGCCTGGCCTCAAGCAATCCTCCCTCTTTGACCTCCCAAAGTGCTGGGATTACAGGCATGAGCCACCACACCCAGTCAGTTATATTTTAATCACTTCCAGAATTGTTTCTTAATTCCCATGATTCCACTAATATATATTGTTGATAAATTCAAAACTGAAAGTAGGATAAGGAAACTTCCTTTAAAAACAAGGCTCATATTATTTTCTATGCTTTAATTTATCATTACCTTTACACAACTGACTGATATCCTCAGGCAGAGTTAAATCAGCACATCTCAGAGAAGATGAAAACAAACTGGCAGGTTTTGTAAACGGGGTATATAAAGGTGACACCTCACTGAACACTTTGTCCTTCATTAATTCATTTGGGGTTGGCCTTGAGAACATTTAAAATACAGAGCATGAATAAAAGTCATAAGAAATTTCCTACAATAATGGCATACATTCAAGAGACTGGTTGAAAGTCTTAAACACCTCATTAGCACAGAAAATAATACAGCTCTCCTTTGCAGAGTCTAGATGCATACTTTTATATTACAAATAACTGTGAGTAAATACTGATTTTTTTTTACTTATGTTGTACTTTACCTCATGATGTATCAAAAATATCATTCCATAAAAGCTTTTGCATTGTTTGCTTTTAGCCTGACTGGCATTCACCTGCTTTACTGAATATCTTAATTAAATAATAAATATGCAACTATTATAATAATATCTTTTGGCTTTTCTTCCTGTCCTTTAATGTGGTACATCCACACAAAACTACTATTTCTCTCTAACATGTCTTGATAAAGTTGTTTTTCTAAAGACAAATTTGTATACACTATTTTCAAACATTATATACTAAAGGAGTTTAGGGATAGCTGTATGACTAGTAGTGACATCATCAAGTCAAAGTTAATTAATGAAACTTCTAAGAAATCCTTTTTTATTATCAACAATTGTTAGTTTATCACACCACTTATCCAAGTTCACTGCTATAACACATATTGATAACAAACTTTTATTCTCATTTCACTGATGTTATTATTGGGTCTAGGAATACCTACATTCCACAGTCTTAGTTGATATTCTACTTAAAAGTTTGGAAATGAACTAGTAACTTCTTTAGTATATGTCAGTTTTCTGACCATGGTTTAACTTTAATTACTTTTTCATTTATTCACAAAAAATGAAAGCTTACATCATTCATGGTTATGATACTCATGTCAATTATATACTACTACATATGTACATTATCTTTATTTAATCCATTATATTAAAACAAATATGAAAAAAATCAATTGCTTATGTGTAAAGGATCTCAATGTAATCCCAATCTCTAAATAATATCAACCTCTTTGAAGAATGGAAGGTGAGGCACTTCTTTAAAAGATCTATCACAGTTTCAGGAAGCTCCTGGTAAACAAAGAGAGAAAATAATTAATTAAAACGATCAATTTTAGAAATATACTTTATTCAAACGTTTGCTAAGCTAGGTTTTGATGTGTTAAAAGTTTTTATTTGTACTTTATACAAATTTCGTCACTGTGAAAAAGCAAATACTTAAAGAGAAATAAGCATTGCTTTAAAATAGCTTCCAAGCGGATCACAAGTGCATAAAATAAATTTTCATGAACAGATTGCTATGATTTGAATGTGTCCCCTCCAAAGTTCAGGCTTAATGAATTTTGAAACTTAATGGCCAATGTGATGATATTAAGAGGTGAGGCCTTTAAGAAGTGATTAGGTCATAAGGGCTCTTCCCCTGGTGAATGGCATTAAGAGGCTTATAAAGGTGAGACTTCACATAGCAATTGCCTAGCTTGCCCTTCCACCTTGTGAGGACAGTGTTTCTCTCTCAGAAGACTGCAGCCCTCACCAGACAACCAAGTACTGGTGCCTTGAACTTGGACTTCCTAGTTTCAGTAACTGGAAAAATAAAATTTTGTCAGGTATTTTTTTATCGCAGCACAAATGAACTAAGACCCAGATTAATGACAAACCTTTATAATGTCCAAACAACCATGCTCTTCAGCCAGAACTATTAAAGTGTCATCTACACAGTCTATAAAACAGAAAAACTATATGAATAAATGCTACTTTTCTAATCTATCCAACAAATCAGAAAATAAACTGATCAAAAATGTTTTAATGCAGTAGTGCAGTTTTGCAACTTAAAATACTGAAAACTTTATCATTTTGTTAAATTTCTTTACACGTTTTGATAAAAATGAAAAGCTTCAGACAAATACCAATTGAATAACTGACACTGAAAGATATCAGCTTAAATAGTTTGATAAAGGAGCAATTCCTTTACAAGGAAGGTAAAGATACTCTAGCTCTCTCTGTCTCTCTCTAAATATATACATGCAGACACACATAGTTGACCCTTGAATAACATGGGTTTAAACTGCATAGGGCCACTTATCTGTGGATTGTTTCCAACTAAATATGGGTTGAAAATACAGTATTTGTGGATGCGAAATCTGTATGTATGGAGGACCGACTTTTTCATACACATGGGTTCTGTGGGGCCGACTGTGGAACTTCAGTACACATGGATTTTGGTACATGTGGGGGTGCTAGAACCAATCCTCTTCAAGAAATGACTGTACATAAACAGCGCTTTTTAAGAAGGCTTTGTAGATTTGTTTTTATGATTACAAGACTAATTTATTTTTATTATACATAATTTGGAAAATGTACTTACATTTATTTGGGAATTTAAAGTATAAGTTTAGATTACAGACCATATTTAAGAATCTCCAAGGCTTCTTAATAGCTGTAGTATCAATCTTTGTAATTAAATGTGGTAAATCTGGTAAAACTTTTGCAAATTTATTTATAACTCATTATTATTTAATGTTTACTAATACTTTTCTGTACATATTCTTATTTGTAAATCTTTTTAACTTGGATACTAATCTGTCACTCTTTTGCATAAAGTGTTCTATCACTGTTTTTCTCTCCTTAATTACTAAATGTGCTTAATTAATTCCACTCTAAAGTAGATTACAAAAATTTTTATTAATTTGAATTATACATGTTTGGATCCACACACATGAAAATTCGTATGAGCCTTTTATATGGAAAAAAATCAATATTCTTCTTGAGTTGTTATTTGTACATGATTCATCAAATAGAAAGATAGCCCAAAAGTTAAGATATATTGTCTGAAGGTAAACTGCTACAGAAATACAATTTTATATTCTCATATTTTGATTTCACAAGTTAATTTACTTGGCTAGATCATAAAGCTAAGATTATTTCCATCTAGGTTAAAATTCCTCAGAGAATAAAGACATTTCTGCTGTAATGTTTTAGAAGGGACCTCATATGCTGTTCTGCTGATCATTACCACTGATCATTAGCAACTTGAGTAAAGGGGGGATATTTCAGTGTCCTCACTATTTCAAAAGAACACATCCTCAATGTGCATGATTACTAATAGTTACTAAGTTATATTTATGTCTGAAAGATAAGCAATTATATGACACTTACCCAAAGTAAGCAAAAATTTTAGTCTTTCAGAAATATCCAAGCTCTGAAATAATTTTCTTCCCTAAATAAAATGAGAAAAGAAATTTGTGTTAATATTTACACGTTTTTTTCTAGGAAGGTATTTTTCTCCCCTTATAGCTGAAACTGATTTTATCAGGCATCTCCATTTATCTCCAAAAGTTTTATTGGATTTTTAAAGTCAGCGCCACTAAAGAAAAATTACAGGTGAAATAACATTTTAGAAAGTGTTGCATAATATGCATCATTTAAACATTTCATACATCTAAGGGTCATTATATTCTAGTTTGATGTAAGCATTGTTCACTTTTGAGATCAACACATACCTGGATATCTAGAGGTATTCCAGGCCACGTGGAGTCTTACTTTATTGAGAGCAAGATGCCCCCGGGTAAGACTGGTTATACCCTTTCATCTACCGAGCTAATTCTTACTTAAATATTATGATCCAGGTAGCCTGTTTCTCCATTAAAAAATTTCATAACACTCTCTTACCACAATAACTTCAGACAGCCATCCCTCATGCTCCTACAGCACCTGGTATATTTTAAGATGCACACATTATATTTTAATTATTTCCTTATTAGTCTGCCTCAGGAGGCTCCTTGATATAAGGTCTGGAGTCAAACACTTATGCCTTCAGCATTTATGAGTTGAGCAATGAATGTGTGCCAAATTGGACTCTCCCACCACCAAATAGTTACATAAATTGGGCAAACTACTTAACCATCTGAAGTCTCACTTTTCTCATCTGTAAAATTAAAATATTAACTGTACATATACCACAGGTTATGGTGAGGGTTACATAATGCAGAATATGCTTCACTAATGTTGGCCATCATTATATTCCTCTTATCATAAACAAATTAAGCTTATATGATCATTTAAATAAACTTAGAAGGAAAAGGCTTAAGATTATCTGGTGTTTATAGAAAAAAGAGAGATGCTTTGATTTTTTTTAATAGAGAAGAAAAAATATTCTTAAACACTTATCAAATCAGAACTACATGTAGAGATCATTGAAAAAAAAACTGCTATTCTTCTCAATCTTACATTATTGTCATATCAATCTTCCAAAAACATGGTTTTGACTTCAATATCTTGTTAAACTTTTAATGGTACTCCACATATCTTATATAACTTAATATAAACATCTTAACTTTGTAAAAATATACACATTACAGAGATATCAAAATAATATACATCTGGTAACATTTACATTCACACTTAGTAAAAGTATGTTTCTAGAGATGCCAAAAAATATATGAAATTAATTATCAAACATGATTAAGTCAAATTAAGCCTTTTCTCCTCATATGTAATCAATTTGTACAGCAAAAACATATTATTAACTTTCCTCTCCAAAAGATTATTCCAATAAATGCACAATTTCTTTTTATTATATTAATATTTCTTTATACATACCACACAAAGCTCAAATAAAATGATTCCAAGAGACCATACATCTGATTTGGGGCCAGAAGGCAATGGTTTTTTACTTGGCATGTGATCAGTGGTTTTGAAAATTCCCTGTGCAATTACCTCAGGGGCCAAGTATGAGGGATACCTGTAATGACACATTAAAATAATGAATAATTACAACAGGGAAAGAAGCAATAGTACATTTTTACAATGAGTGTGGTAAGATCTATGTAAAAGTCCCATGCAATTAAATTAACAACTGTTGCTAGAAAGCATTCTAAACTAACCATTATAATACAGACCTTTAATGTCAAGGCATCAGGAGTAAATATACGCAAGTCTCAAATAGTTTTAAAACCCTCATGTTTCCCTCCAGCATTAACTCCTTTATTTGCTTCTCTCTGGCTTCCAAGTGTTTTTCCTTCCTTCTTATTGCCTATATTCCCTTAATACTGAATTACTATTTAAAGCACATTTTATCTCTTAAAAAAGTATTTATTATTTTTAGTAGTAAGAATGTTAATGCTATAAAAAGATATAAATTGAAAAGTAAAATTCCTAACTCTATACCCTTGTCACTCTGACATATTTATGTACATATAACTTTGTCCACTTATCACCTCTGCCCCACATAGTAAAACACTATACATATTGCTATGTACCTGTTTTCCACTTAAAGTATATTTTAGAGATTGTTCTTTAAAAACACAAGTATAGAGTTTTTTCATTCTTTTTGAAAACTGCCAATAATTTCATTGATGCTCTTAATTTGACAAAACGAAAACATTTTGGAACTTCCATTCTTTTGCTATTACCAATAATGAGATGAATATATTATGATTATTACATATCCCACAAGTATATGCATATGAATGACAGATATATTCTTAGAAGTGGCACTCTAAGATCATACAGGATATGCATTTTAAATTTTGACTTATCACACCCACCCTTTGGAGAGGTTATATCAATTTATATTGTCATAAGTAATACATGACAGTGCCTATTTCCTCACAACTTCACTGACATAAAAGGCTTTTGAAAACTGGTTTAGCAAATATTGAATAAATGCAAAACACTGCCTCTTAAATATGGATAAGGTATAAAGAAGAAAGCTTCAATGAACACCCATGTGCCAAGAAGCAGTTTAAGTGAAGAACATAAAATTGTCACTGAAAGTCCCTTTGTGCTTCTCCCTGATTGTATCTCCATTCCTGTTCCTCCAGAGGAGAAGATACCTGGAATTTTTGTGTTTGTCATTCTCTTCCATTTCCTGATGGTTTTACCATGTTTGTATCCCTAAAATATGTACTGTTTAGTCAAGCATATCTCTGAACTTCATAACACTGGAATTAGGATGACTGTATTCTTTTGCTTTTTCAATCAAGATTATCTATATTGTTGCATGAAGCTGTAGCCATTAAATTCTTATTTCTATTATACAAATATATCATAATTTATACATTCAAATAGCAATGGCATTTAAGCTGTTTCCTGCTTTTTATTATTAATATTATGAACAACATTGCACAGAATGCCATGTATGGTATACATCTGCAAAAGGTTCCCAATGTTAACAACCTAGAACCAAACTTCTAAGCCATAGGATATGTGCACTTTCTACTTCATTAAACAATGCCAAATGTTTTTCAAAAGGAATTATACCAATCTATACACTTGCCAGCAGCGAATGACTATTCCTATTGTTTTACTTCTTCACCAACACTTGATATTTGACAGACTTTTTAATGTTTAACAATCTGTTATATAAAATCTATTGTGGTTTTACTTTGCATTTCCTTGAAAATTAATGACATTGAGGCAAATGTTCGTATGTTTATTAGTCATTTGGGTTTATTACTGTGTGATATGCCCATTCAAGTCTTTTGCTTATTTCTCTAGTTATTTTGGGGTCCCCAAGACTACTCTCATGTTTAAAAATTCACTAGAAAGACTTACAAGACTTAGCAAGTAAGTGTACTCACAGCTAAGATTTATTGCAGTGACACAGTAAGGGCACAGCTGAATCACAAGGCACAAAGACAGAGAGGGAGTCTCAAGGAACCCATATAGAGGCTTCCTTATGCTCTCTCCCTCCTATCAGGGATCACACAGAATACATTTTTTTTCCAGCAACAAAAATGTAGCACCATGTATGTGATGTATCTTTAGTTTTCTTTTCTTTTCTCTTCTTTTTTTTTTAACTTCTTTCCAATCTTGAAGAACAAATGTTATGTGATGTTTCTGGCCAGAGAAGCCCATTGAAAATCCAAGGATTTTATTTGGGACTTGTCACACAGGCACTCTCTGCCTGGCATGTACAAAAATTCAAGCTCTCAAGAAGGAAAGCAAGTGTTCAACATAAACCACTTTGGTTGTTTACAAGCACAGTAAATTAGCCTCAGCAATTATGGATCCATGGGAACATTTCTGCAATCCAAGTTTCAAGGCAACAGCCAAGAACAAACATTGCTAGCAGGACTTAGTTTCTAAGGATAGCAGTCTTAGGCTTTCTATGATAATCTTTTACTGCACAGTTTTTCTTTAATTCCAGACACTAATGTCTTCTTCAGTAATTATGACTTGAAATATTTTCTACCACTTTGTGGTTTTGTCTTTTCTTTCTCTTTATGGTATCTGTTTATGAATGAGAAGTTCTTATCTTTCAGTTGAATTAAACTTTTTTCCTTATACTTAATGATTTTGTCAAAATAATCTGTTAATTTTCTCAAAGTTTCAGTTTAGCCTTTTATATTGAAGTTTCTTGATCCATCTAGAATTCATTTTTCATATGATGTCAAAGTACAACTTATTTCCTACATAAATAAGCAATTGAGCCCTGTTCCCTTTATTGAAACCTCTTTCTCCCCAACTAATCTGCAGTGCCCGCTGTATACTAAATCAAATCTCCACACATACAAAGATTTGTTTCTTGGCTCCCTCATCTGTTCATTTGGTCAATTTGCCTAACAGTATACTATTACATGATTTTAAATAAAATATTTTCATATAAAATGTATTTTATTAAATAATTACTGGTAATTGTTAAGACCTCTCAAAACATACGTACCTTTTAGCTTCTCTTTGGGAAAATGTGGGCTCTTTGTGGGTGTTTTTTCTTCTCTATATACATTTTAAAACTCTCTTGCCAAGTATATTCTCTTTCACATACAGTTGAATTTTTATTGAAAATAGATAAGATATAAAGACAGGTTGTAGAGAACATCTTAACAATACTGACCCTAACAATCTATAAACATGGTATCTCCATATTTATTTATGTCTTCTTTAATGTCTCTCAAAAAGATTTACATTTTTTCCATAAAGGAACATATACTATCAAGGGATTTTGTGGTGTCACTTTGCCAGGTGGAAACCTCTGTGGCCAGTGGTGCCTTTGCCTGAGTTTTGCTTGGACCCACTGGGCTCGTTCCATCCACTTGGACTGGCAGGCTATGCTCAGCTTGTGCTACTGGCCTGGATGCCATGCTGGCCAAGGGAGAGCCAGGCATGGAGTGGCAAGGGGTTATGAGTGAGTGTGGGGTCTGGTCACTGTGCACAGCCAGGCATACTGGCTGTGGCACAGCAGGCAGGTCCAGGTGCTCACACAGGCGCTGGCTCCCTGCAAGGCTGTGGTTGGACTAGGTGTGTTGCAAGCAGCTTCCATGGCTGGCACCAGGGAACATGGTTGTGCAAGGAAACTTGGAGATGCCGGGAACTGCAGAGCCCCAAAGAGAGTGTCATAGCCCTGGCTCAGAAAGCTCCTAGGTCTGGGATCCCTAAAGGGCTGCAGCTCCTCTCTCCTTCTGTCTTCTTTCCTTGCTACCCGCATTGTGGCAGGCAAGGGGTTGTTTCAGCCCTATTTGTTATAGCTGTTTTAGCTCTGCCATTTGGCAGGTCCCAAATTCTTGTCCTGCATCCGGGAATAAGGTACACGGACAAGTGGAGGGTAAGCAAGTTGAAGAGATTTATCCAGCGGTAGTTCCTCTCCACAGGCAGGGTGTCCCGATGAGTGTTCAGCACTCAGTTGAGAGGAGACCCTAGGGTGGATAGCTTCTCCCCTCAGGTGGGGTGTCCCTATGAGTGTTCGGCCCTCAGCAGAGAGAAGACCCTGGGGTGGGTAGTTGCTCTCTGCAGCTGGCCATCCATTATCTGCTCAAGTCTGGCCGAGTCCAGGGTTGTTATGGTCCTCAGAGGGAAGAAGTGCACGTCCATTGGTCCATGGACGGCCATGGGTGGGCCCAGAAAAAGCACCACAAGTTCCCACTCAGGTCCACGGGACTGGCAGCCCGTCTCCCAGGCTTCAGGCCCTCCCCGGCTTGAAGGCGGGGCTTCACCAGGGACCCGCCCCCTTCTACCCAGGAACCTGTCTGACTCCTGTCGCTCTTCATGGTACCCAGGCTATTTGTGCCAAGAAGCGCCTGCAGGCCAGCGCTGAGCTGCCCTCAGCCCCCCTTCGGACTCCCTCCCTTGCCTGTTGGTGTCCAAAGTCCACAGGGGGTCAAGGCAGCAGGGGGCTGGAATGTCAGTGCTGCCTCTAGTGTGCACACACTCAGCCGCGGTCCAACAGCACCTGGGCTTGGCCCCGACCTCCCTCCAAGATCAGAGTGGGTACAGGGAGCAGGGAGAGGTCAGGCAGTGGGAGCAGACATTTCTGAGCCTACAGCTGCACCCGGGAGAGCTGGGCTCCTGTCTGCTTCCAGCCCCCAAGAGCACAGAGAAGCCCAGGTCTGTAGCATCAACTTGGGCAGCTGCAGCTGTGCCCGGGAAGGTGGGGCTCCTGCCTGCTCCTGGCCCCCATAGGCTCCGTGAAGTGACAGCCCCAGCAGCACCTCTCCCACTGCAGCCGGCATCGTGGTAGTGCCCATTCCACACAGGCCGCCACTGCCATCAATACCTGATTTGATTCTATAAAGTACTCATTTTGCCTGTTCTATATCTTATAAAAGCTATGCCTGTTCTATATCTTATAAAAGCTATACATGCTATGATGCTATACATGTTTGTTTTATATACTATATATTTCATGTACAAAAATTTAACCTCCCATCTCAATTAGAAAACAAAGAACTATATACCTGAGGGCACTTGCGTATCTTTTTATAAATCCTCTACAACTACCAATGAGACTTAAATAGAGGATATACTCAGTATAGTTTTGCTTAAAAAAAAAAATTCCTATCAAAAATGCCCATTAGGATGGCCTTACAAATGACAATTTAAAAAGCAGGTAGTAAATAAGAATTAGACATAGGAGCAATTGCTAAATTTGAATCCCAGTTCCTAGAAATAAAAGGAATAAGAACAGTTTTAGACGAGAGATGGCGTGAAATTTTGTCTTACTTATTACATATGTGTATGCCCCTTCTTCATTTGTCAGATTTAGTCATGAGCACCCACAATCTAGATTTTAAAACCAGTTAGATTAAATTATGTCCTCTTACAATGATGATTATAATCAAAATATATTTAAATGTTTCATCTATGTAATGTATATTAAGTAGACATTCAAATATTATTTCTGTTTTTCTTCCTATGTTTTCTACAACCTCCTCAAACTATCATTGCTAGTACTTATTTACTTTCAAAATATAAGTCAATTAAGTCAGGGAATGTGACTTAAATTCAAATGGGTAAATTTGGTTTTTAACTCCTTTTTCATTTTAATAGAATGATGATGTGATACCAGTATCTTCTTATGATTTGTTTGTGTATTTCTCTCATATACAAATTTGTATTGTATTATTTTACCCTAAGATGATGATATTGCTCTTCTAAATGAATCTGTGATACCTCTAGAAACAGCTGAAGTCTAGTGGAAGCAGCACTATACTAGATGTTATAATACCTGTGTTCTAATTTCAGTTCTACCACATATTCTATATGTGATTTAGGTTTCTTCATCTGTAAAACTGGAATATTACTGCCTACCTCATAAAGCTGTAATGTTAGTGAATCTATAAAGACATTTAATAAGAATAAAAAATTTAATACAAATGCAATGGTGTACTTTTATCATCACCACAATATCTCCAGAAGTCAGTGTTCATCTTTATTCCTGATTTCCAGCACATCTAACTGAAAAATGACAATAATGAAAAATCAAGCAAAACTATAGGTACATTGTCATATCAAAAACTTCTGACAGGACAGAGATAAACTTTGTTTCAAATATTTTAGTTTCCCTTTTAATCACAGGAAAATTATTAAAAAATAATAAGCTCTAGAATTATTTAATGTAGGTCATCTTTTTTCAACAACCTTCTCTTCTGTATCATAGCATTTTAACACTCAAAGACAATTACCAGAACTTTGCTGTGAGTATGACTGATGAGGTAAATAAAGTGGCTTTCATCATCTGTTTGATGTTTTAACAAGGTATTAAGCTACTGGCCAACTGAAATGAATGCCCGATTTCCAACTCTTTACAGTATTTTGAAACAGATGGTAACATTTTACTTTGTTGTTCCTTAATATTTGTCTTTTGAATCAACTGCAAGCTTCTTCTGGTGTAAATATTTTCTTTCATGCCTTAGCTGTTTGATCACTTTATTTTTCCTGGCTAATGTTTCACATTTTGCTCTTTGATATTTTCTGGTAAGACCCTTTGGGTCTAAGACTTCAAAGCAAGCCAGACCAAATGGTAACACAAGACCAATTCTATCCAAGCATTTTAAATTCAAGTGTAGCTCTTACTTGATATGCTTTAAGAAAAATCACCTCCTTTCTTCAATTCATCACTGAAACCTAAAGTACCTTTAAATAAAAATAAAAAACTTAAAGTAATTTTTAAGTTTTTGGATTTCTTTCTTACACAAATTGATTTAGACAAAAGCAGCAGCAGCAATCATTTGTACTACAGCTACTTAAAAGTCACCTTGAAAGGCATTTATCATACATGACAAAGGAGCTAGAGCCTCACTAAAAACTTACATTCAAGTATAAGTTGAATTAAAAAACCCCTTTCATATTCGAAAGGGCTTTTTTGAACAAATAAGGAATTGTAGACTGTCTTTGCAAAATACCATTTTCATGCTTATGAAACAAGAATTGGTTTTTGCCTGTAAGTTTTCAACACACAAAACTGTAAGACTATGAATTTATGTACCTTAATAAGTAGTCCATCAAAACGGAAAATTCTCTCACTAAACAATGAGCTTCTTGAGGAGAGAAAACTATCTTATTTATTTTTGTAAAACAAACAGGCATAAGAGAAATTGCTCAACAAATGTTTCCTCACTGAATAAAGTTTAAGTTTATTATCTATGTCTTAATAATAAGACACAGCCATAAACTTAACAAAAAGTTTAGTTAAGAAACCTATAATTTGAGTTATAAAGAAAAAAGGGCAAGTTATATATGAGGCTGGCTTTTAAAAAAATTATATTAAGTTTTTAAGTAACATTCTGTTTGAAAAACACACTCCATGACTTCATATCACAATTCTCAGTAACGGTGTGATAGAACTTATTTTAGGGAGCCCAAAGAGGAAAACACAAATGGATACTATCAAAAACAGCCACACTACAATTGAAAAAATATGACTAAGGTCTCTAGGTTAGATAATAATACTGCATCAAGTTTAGTTTCCTTGTTTTGACAACTGTTCTGAGGTCATGTAAAAAAACAAAGTCCTTCTTTTAGAAAATACAAATGGAAGTACTTAGAGGTAAAGTGCTATTACATAACATTAATTACTTTTAAGTGATTATAAAAAACAATCATTATACACATACACACATATATGCTTAGAGAAGAAAACAGAGAAAAAGCAAATGTAGTGAAATGTTAACATTTGGAAAAACTGATGAAGGGTATAGAGGAATTCTTTATACTATTTTTGTAACTATTTTATCTAAAACAATCTCAACTTAAATCTTCAAAAAAGAAAATAATTCTGAAAATGTCTAAAAGCAGCCACACAAATATAACACAAAAATCTGTATCAAAAACATCTACTTGAGGCCAGGCGCGGTGGCTCAAGCCTGTAATCCCAGCACTTTGGGAGGCCGAGACGGGTGGATCACGAGGTCAGGAGATCGAGAACATCCTGGCTTACACGGTGAAATCCCGTCTCTACTAAAAAAATACAAAAAAACTAGCCGGGCGAGGTGGCGGGTGCCTGTAGTCCCAGCTACTCCGGAGGCCGAGGCAGGAGAATGGCGTAAACCTGGGAGGTGGAGCTTGCAGTGAGCTGAGATCTGGCCACTGCACTCCGGCCTGGGCGACAGAGTGAGACTCCGTCTCAAAAAAAAAAAAAAAAAAAACATCTACTTGAATATGCACGAAACGACCTTCCATTTCTTTTGTGGAGGGCAACATATATCTGCAATTCCATAACAGAAGTAATTAAATAAACGTTTCTGAACTTAAACATAGACTTTCAGGTATGCAATTTATCTCTATCTCTAATATCCACAATGACTCAACTTGAGTCTTAATATATAATTATATCTTAGAGAAAAGGGAGTTAAACATAAAACATTAAATTGAAAATAATGTGAGAGTGATGTTTTTCAGTCTCTTGATGCACACACATTATCATTAATTGAGAATCTAGTCATCCTTCTTGCCTTGAATTGATTTGATTCTGAATGACATACAGATAATTAGGAAATATTATAATGTAAAGGATGTCAATACTGCTAGCCTCTCTGTCAATTCAATGAATGATCAACATCAAGGATCTATAGGATGCTGGGAAAAACTCATTGTCTACTCATTTTAAAAGTATATGGAAAATTGAGATGCATTAATTTTAAAAAAGCTGTTTTCATGTCAAAAAGGAATATCAAATGTAATTAACAAAATATACACGCTATCAAAGATTACAAAATTTAAAAAGATACTCAAAATAGAGGAAAACATATCCTTACCCTATTGGGAAATCAACATCATCACCATGAGCTGTCATGTGATAAAGTCCAAATTTAGCCAATTTAATATGTCCCTACAATAGTAAAGAGAAAAAACACTATCAAATATTTTATTATAATTAGCAAGGAAAATTATTAAACATTTTATACCTAAAGAAACCATTATATAACAATATTTTATCAAAATGCCACTACACAAGATTTAAAAAAAACACAATTTTATAAAAAACTATCTGCCAATAGTCTGCTTTAGACTCATTAAATATGTATATATGCATATGTACACATATATATCTCAAAATGACAAATCACATGTTTCTTTAATATTTTTGCTGTGACACTGTCTAAGTTATTTCACAAAACAAAGAAGCAAAAATGTTCTCATCTGTCTTGAAACTTTGGTTAGAATGGTTTACGGTAATTTTCACAGAGCAAATTTTTCTCCATGGAGTTGCAAGTCCATTTATATTTATAATTTAACTGTGAAATAAGAAAACTTAACTTGAAAATATCAGTTCAAAACTCATCAAGATTTTGGTGAATCTGCTAGATTTCCAATGATTTTTTATATTGTTTGAGAACAAAAATATCATAAGTATAAGGCTCTTAATAAATGATAAATATAATTTCTTATCTTTTAAGTTTTTTTCCCTTTTAATCTATAAGGCTTTAAAATATTAAGCTGATCTTAAAATTGGTTTGTCTTCTCACAAACATTATTTCCAAGCATTATAAAATATTTATATTTAAAAATAGCTTAGATTGATATGGCAATGATTCTTTACTGACATAAATCTAAAATTAATGAGTACACTTTTCTGTGTTTGTGTTTGTGTGTTTGTTTTTTTAGAGACAAGGTCTCACTCTGTCACCCAGGCTGGAGTGCAGGGGTGTGATCATAGCTCATTGCAGCCTCAAACTCCTGGGCTCAAGCAATGTTCTCATCTCAGCTTCCCAAGTATTGATTTGGGAAAAGAACCAGAGAACAAGGATAATCCTACTAATACAGTAAATAATGCCCATGAAAAAATTTCCTCCAATATGTTTTTATATATTTTATGAAAAGGAATAAAATTACAATTATTCCTGAAAATATACAACCTTGATACCATAATTCTCTCTGAAGAGTTTACAAGCTTCTTCTTAATGCCCCATAAGATTTCCAGTAGAGAAACAGCACTTCAATAGTAAAAGGAGGTAGGTATGAACAGCTGGTAAATAAGGAGATAAATAGAAGAGGAAAGAAGGCAGAAGAAAAACAGAGAAAACACAATGCAGTTGGTTTATATGAATAACATTCTAGCAAAAAGAGCCATTTTCTTAAAAATGAAAATAAATTAAGAGGAGGAGTATATTGGGAAGCCACAAGGCTTTAGAAATAAGAGTAAAATGAAAAAAACCATAAAGTTAGAAAATGAGTCTTGTGGGGAAAATAATCCATGTGAAAGATATACAGATTAAATAATTTAAGGATTCTTTTTTCAAAAACCACAATCACTTTCATATAGTCTTTTCATTATGAATATTCTTAAAACATATTCTGATTCTATTGTTCTTCTGATTGAGTAGCCCTGATCCCAGTTGCTTCCAATTTTAAATGATATACAAATATTTATTACATGATTTAACAATTACCTTTCGGTCCAACAGGATATTATGAGGAGACAATGCCCTGTGTACTATACCATGTTTGTTCATATACTGCAAGCCCTGAAGAACCTCAAATGCTATGCACAAAACCGTTGAACAGCTACAAAGAAAACAAAAAGTCAAAGTTCAATTACAAAGCAAATAAATAACTTGTTTTAACAAGTGAAATGTGACCTACTGAAAATATTCAAAAAGTTTTAGTTTTTATTGCTCCTCTTTTATTCTGAGAAAATAGAATCTATATATTTTCTAAAATACCTACGTCTACATATTTTAGATTTTCTGATTATAATAGAATTGATCTGACAAAGATCCTACAGTTTCCTAAAGGCTACTGTAATAGCAGTATTTGGTCCTTCCAGGAAAATGCTTTAATTTTGATGGTGAGTGCAACTAATCTATAGCAGGTTGGCTTTGCCAAATTGTCAGGTTAAGTTTCAGGTATATGGCAGAACTAAGTCATTAACAACTATTTTGCTCATACAAAATACCTAAACCCCTGAAAAAAAGTAGTAACAATATATTTTATGGTATACAACACTAGCTTATTTTCCATATTCAACCTATAAAGCAACCTCTGGTCATTTATGATTTAGCAAACATTTCTCTTTAATTCTTATCCTATTATGTACAGATCATCCTTCACACATACATCCTCCAGTTTTTCCCTCCTCTCTCTCACCATCCATCTCCCTAATGTTTTTTCCAATTTGCAAGTCTATTCATGTAAATTACCAGGAAACAGGCACTGTATTTGGTTAAATACTGCTACTTGGCAGTTGTATTTGGAACATGTTTTAATTTTTATCATTACATCTTTATAAAGTACGGATTGTTCATTTGCAGACATTGGTGTCTGCATTAAAACTTTTTCCTGTCAACATTTCTTTTCTTTTTGAAAAGTTCAAATCTCAGAAAAGAGTATGACAAATGTAATACTCACATAGAAATTAACCTAGCTTTATTAATTATCCTCTAATGTTTTAATCAAAAATTGTTCATATGGAAAATTTCCCCATACCTACAATATTAACATTTTGGTATAGATGTTCCTTTCTATCCATTTTTTAAATTTTTCTAAAATTAAATTCGTGTTTGCAGATAGCCACTAAACATAATTTTTAAAACCAATAGTAGAGCTAAAATGGAATTATAAAAAATATTCAATCCACAAACAGGCAGAATAAAAGGAAAAAAGAACAGAACAAATAGAAAATGACTAACAGATTTTAATCCAGATATAGCAATAGTTATATTAAGTACAAATGGTCTCAACTCACCAATTAAATCATAAGGATTGTCAGATTTGATAAGAATTTAAACTCAGCTATACTCAGTCTATGAGAAACCCACAATAAATAAAAGACATAGGTTAAAAGTTAAAAAATGGACTAACACATTGCCATGGGCTTGGGTGAGGGGCAGGTGGACTACAAAAGAGTATGAGAAAATTTTGTGGCATGAGGGAACTGTTCTATCCTTGATTTTGATGATGATTACATAACTTTGTTTATCAAACTCATTAAAGTTTACATTAAACAGGGTAAACATTAAGGTATTATACCTTAATAAACCTGACTTTAAAAAAATACTAAATTGAATAAAATTTTTACAAAAATAATTGTTGCAACCTGATTCTCTCTCCTAAATTAAAACCAAAAGAAATAACCAGAGACCAAAGCTAAAATTTGCCTCTATGATCCTAGTTTGACTTTCCAGAGGGAATCAGCAGTTTTTGTTTTCAATCCTTCTGGTGGTTAGATTTTTACTTACTTACTAACTCTTCACTATGCAAGAGGATATAGTTGACGTATTTTCACAACTTTTCTATTTTCTTCCTCAACTCCTTTTTATTAGTTACATTGTTTTACATTATCAAATTTTATTTTACATTATCAAATAATCATCAGCAGTTAGTTTTCGATTCTTCTGGTGGTTAGACTTTTACTTAATATAAGTAATTCTTCACTCTGCAAGAGGATACAGTTGACATATTTTCACAACTTCTCCATTTTTCTTCCCCAATTCCTTATCTGCATTCGTTATATTGTTTTTAGACTATCAAATTATAAGTGGGATAAAGGAAACCTACACTCCTTGCTGGAAGGTGAAACAAATAAGTAAATAGATAACGTGATGTGTAGTGATTAAATGAAGAAAAAAATAAAGTAGGGAAGACAGATAATGTGTTCAGGGAAGGCCTCACTGAGAAGGTGACACTTACATAGAAATCTAAAAGAAGTGAAAAAGACAGGTAGGTCTCTAGAAAATGTATGATTGGGGCAGAGGTCACAGCAAGCAACTCCTGAACTGGTATAAAGTCAGCAGCTCACAAAAGTGTATTCAGTGCATGCAGTAGAATGAGCAAAGAATAAAGTGACAGGAGATAAGCTCAGAGAGGTAGCTACGAGTCAGATGACTCAGATGACGTAAGGCCCTTTAGGCCACTGTAAGACCTTTGGGCTTTTACTCTGAGAAAGATGGGAAGTGACTGGCACATTGCCACATGATAATAATGATTAATAAATATTTACTGTAGAACTAAGCACAGAAGGAAATAGAAACCTAGGCCACTTAAACCCTAGCTGTCAAGAGAAAATGTCTCAGTCATCAAGATTTAATAGATACCATAATTTTATAACTCTATTTATGAACATTATCATCAGCTACTATAATTTTTATATATCATACTATTTTTAAATTTCTTTTTTGTTTCGCTATAAGACATCTTGAGAAATTGTTTCATACAGGGAGCATGAGTAGGATATTTTCATGCACAGCGCATCTGAAAATATCTTCTTCTTGCCTTTAAACTTGGAAAGAATTACTCCATTGTCTCATAGCATTGTTTATTAATGGCGAGAAGGCTACCATTAGTCTGATTCCAACTTTGTTGTAGACATCCTGTTACTCTTTCCTGGGAAGTATTGAGGATTATTTTTACTTTATCCCTAGAGTTATAAAATTTCAGCCCAATATGTCTAATGTGGGTATGTTTGTGCCAGTCAGCATTAAGCATGCCCTTTTAATTTACAGACTCACATGTTCCATTAACACAGAAACATTAACAAGGAAAATTCGATTTGTTACATCTTTCACTATTTACTTTTTTTTTCTCTAAGTTGGAACTCTTAGTAGGCAGATGATAACTGGAACTTTTTTTTAATTTAATTTTTTGAGTACATAGTAAGTATATATATTTATGAGGTACATAATACAGGATACAGGCATGAAATGAGTAATAATCACACCATGTAAAATGGGGTGTCCCTCCCCTCCAGTATTTATCCTTTGGGTTATAAAAAATTCAATTGTACTTTCAGTTATTTTAAGATGTACAATTATTATTGACTACAGTCATCCTGTTGTATTAACTTTCTGTCTTAAGAGCCTAGTTTTTAGTCCTATCTATTATATAACTTAATTCCAGTAGAGAGAGATCCAAAGAGAGAGAGAGAGAGAGACAGAGAAAGAGAGAGAGAGAAATCTAAACCATTAATTTCCAGGATTTCTATTATGTCCCCTAGCTGCTCCTTGTCGATAGATACTGTTCTTTGGTTACGGATATATCATTCCTTTGAGTCTCTCTGAGAAGAATTAGAACTCTTTTAATTCTGGAAAAAAGAGTGTTATCTTCATTTCCTCTGTGGTAAGTACCCCCTCTCCACCCCATCTCCAGGCTCTGTTTTTCTTGAACTATTTTTTTTTTTTTTTTTTGCCTCAAATATCTGGTAATCCAGTCCCTGGTTGTCAGTCATATTTTGAAGTAAAGGAGTAAGCTGATATTACCCATAATGTGTGTAAAAAAGAAGCAATGAGGGTTACTGGGTTACTATTTATAAAGAATGCTATTTAAATTGACTGTAAACTATTCCTTTTTATCAAATAATTTATCCCATATTAAAGTGCCATACCACTGAGTCTTAAACAAATAGGGAATGTGTGAAACAAGCATAATTCAGGATAAACAGAGTTTTCATAAACATCTTCAAAAAATTAACTGTATAAATGGCAATATCCCAAACTTTAAAAAAATTATTTGTAACTTATCAAGAGTTATAGAGGCAAGGATTTTATGTAAAAGCACAATTACGTTGATAAATATGTGCATATGAAAGAAAACAAAATCTTCCCCCTTAAAAACAAAGAGAAACATTCCCTGAGATTAGCAAAATGTAAACCTAGTTTTATGAACTCATTTGGCTCTACAAGTCAATTTTAGAGTAGCTTCTCTTGTTCTTGTCTGTTTCTCACACAATTCACAAAAAAACTGGTGCCATATGCAGCTGTGACACTAGAGGACCTCAGCTGCATACTACTTCAATATAGATGCCTTTCTCATGAAATTAAAGCCAAATATTTAAAGTGATCTTCCCACTGAACAAGTTCTGAAACTACTGAACACATAGACTGCATTTTCTACTCTCTATACTGTGCTTTTGTTAATTGTGAGATATTAGACATTAGATTTACATGCCGAAAAGCACATTCATGTTAAAAATGAGCTGATGAACATGCATACCAAAATAATTTTTAAAAATTCAAACATATAAATGACATACCCTTTCGTAGCTATTACTTGAGAGTACATGTCAATTACAATCTGATTCGCTTTTCTGCCCTTTTATACTCTCAGAATTCAATTTTTTAATTTGTTCTAAAATGTAAGGAGAACAAAAAATGCTATTTTATATCATGAGAAGAACAAATCAGTATTTGCAGAATCTTGTGTACTTACTAGCTTTTTAAGTTATATTCGTTAATACTACCAATAACTTGGGTCATGAAATTTTTTAAGTAGCTAATGCAACAGCAAAGTAAAACTATCATATGTCTAGTAGTAGTTAACATGTTACAGTTTAATTGAACATGGACACTAAAAGAAGATTTAGGATTAAGAGAATTGGATTCACACAGTTAAATAAACAAGATACTGACAGGGGACAACAGGACTTTATCCTACACAATTCCCAAGGGAGAATCTTGTTTAATACACAAACCCATCAGTAACCAAGAAAATGTAAAATTATACTTCAAATAAAAAAATATTCTACTCCTTTTGACATTTTTCAGTAACTATTGTTACTTCAGGGCCTGCGT